CGCCCGCAGGATAAAATCCAGCCTCTGGATGTTGTTCCTGAGACTCACTGCCTGCCCTTTGCTTTCTTAGGCCTCCAGCCTCTCTCTGACAGGCTGTTTTCTCTCCCTCTGGTCACCGGGCTGATTCTTTCCTGAGGGCCAGTCCGCAGACCAACACCTTTCTAAGGAGCTCTGCCAGACCACCTAACCCCCCTGCAAGGTGGGTACTGGGCGTCCCTCACTCTCATGGGAGACTGTGGCATCTCAACTTCCAGTCCCTTCCTCAGAGCTGTCGGTTCAGCAGCAATCCTCTGCTTCTAGCAGCTAGTGGCCAGTGGGAAATAACTAGTGAGCGCCCCGTCAGACCTCTCAGAGAAAGGGACATGTTCCCTTACGTAGATAGGAAACTGAGGTTTGGGACTGGAGGGACAGCCAGGTCCCCACCTGGGCTGGTCAGGCCCTAAAGCCCTCCTGTTTTGGCTCAGACAGTAGTCTCGGCTTCTGCCCATCAGCTCCTCTCTTGACGGGAAGCACAGATTTAGCAGAACTCTCCCCACTGGAGGGGAGACACCAGAGCAGCACTGCAAACCCCTGTTCCGGACGGCAAGGCCCTGGTCAGTCACGTGGCTGTCACCTCTGTCAGGGAGTTCATTAGGGGGAGACGTAGGTAGGTGGCCTCATGTGAGCACCTAAGGCCTGAGTGGGCAGCAGGCTGACTTTCCAGAAGGATCGGGGGTGTGGTGGGCACCGTGCTGCACGGTGAGGTTCCTGGTTCTTGCTGATTTCTCTATGCGGAGTACTCAGTGGACAGCAGTGACCAGACTTGCATGTGCCCGTGTCTTCCCAGGGGACCCCCTCTCAGTACAGGTTCTGCCCCAGTGGGCTGCCCAGAAATGAAACTGGCCCCCTGTGTTCCTTCACATACATAAGTGAACCCTAAAAGACCCCAGTATTCCTCATCCTGCCCTCCCTCCACAGCCAGCCACCTGCAGGGAAATGTTTCCCACCTGCCCTCACTTTGGGCTCCCCTAGCCCTCTCCAGGCTGAAGGAGGACCCATGTCAGAGTGGAGGCGGCTCCTCCCCGCTGGGCCCTAGGGCAGGAGCTCCATTCCCGAGGCCCTGCCCTGGGAATTGCTTTCCTCTGCCCCACAAGGCTGGGGATCTGTGGGCGGTGACCTCTACCCTGAGGTCTGCCGTAGCAGGCCTCTCTGGAGCTCCAAATGGAAATGGAGGCAGTTACCCCCATTCTCCAAAAACAAAGGCCACCTACACATACTTAGCTCAATGCAGAAGGCTCACGTGTCTCCAGTTTATGGTGTAAATTTTACTTGGTTTGTATGCAATTAGGTTTCAAAAGGTTGTTTCAACTTTAGACTAGAACAACCTTAGTAATTGCTAAGCTGAAATTCACCATGGGATGAGCAATGTGGGCCCCGCAGGGATATGCATGGCAGAGGCGTCCTTAGTGTATCAGTGTATCCTTTTGCTGATGGCTGATATAATTTCAGTGAGAGTGAAATATTTGATGTGTAAGCACACACAGACCCCTCAAAAGATACCCACTCTTTAAAAATGAGTCTTGGCACCTATGTTAAGTTATGCTTCTGACTCTGGCGGTTGGCGAGCTTGCCCAGGAGTAAGACCACTGAGGGAGTCCACAAAAGTGTAAATGAGTGTTTGAATGCCACAGTCGTGGCTGTTGCCTGTGGAGTCTGCTGAGGTGAACCAGGGTTTGAGCTCCAGGATGAGAGGAAAACGAAGCATGTTGTTTGCCAGGACAGGGCACTGTTGATGTGTGCTGATGTGTGACAAGTTGCCTTGGAACACAGCAGTTTCTTTGTTCTATCCTGTTCTACTCTTTTTTCCTTCTTTTTATAAGGGCAGTTAAGTAGTTGCAGGAATGTATTTACGTTGTATAAACTCTTACTTTAGCAAATATGGCTCCATTCATAATTTTGTCTTGTTCTCCCCATAGGTATGTCCAACTTAAAGAACTCGGGTGTGTGGAAGCTGAAAGGGGCCCAGACTCTGAAGAAGTGTCTTCTTTTTACTGTCCTGGTCCCTCTCCCCCTGCCCTTTGGATGAAGCTATATAAAATTATAGATTGGACAGAATAAATATCTAAAGTTTAGAAAAGGCAAAATACATTTATTTGGGTTTAAAATACAGTAGGAGCACAGGTTCGGGTCAGAAAGAGCGGAGAGAGAACAAACAGGTAGAGCGACTGAAACCCTGCTGAGGGAGCGTGAGTGAGACGGCAGAGGCTGCGGCCTGCAGCGGCTGTGGGGCTTCATTGTGCGGAGACCCCTGAGCATCAAGCCCGTATTTTATTTTTTCATCCTTAGATGTTTTTCTATAACTGCAGTGGAATTCTTAATTCTTTAAGCATTTTACAGCTACTGAGGAGCAGGGATGTACCTTCAGCGTGATGGGTTACTTCATTAGCTTTACTTAACTGGTTCTGATAATGAAATGGAATTTGCACATTAGGGAAAATGTGAAGAGTAGAGTAAAATGTAAAAACATTAGTCAGCTATCACATTTCATCAAAAAGTAAGTTGTTCTATGAGTTAGCTTACTTCCTTGTGTTTTCCAGATTTCTTATTGTGAAACATTACACTTGTGTATGGGGGTAGGTAGGCATGTACCTGTAGTTTGAGAACTGCAGAATGAAATCTCAGTGACTGGGTCAAGAAATAGAAGTCACATTTCATCAAAATCATCTTGCACAGGTAAACACCAACATGACTTTCATTAAAATCTTTTCCCTTGCTCTTAATAATTTATCACCTAAGTATGTGTCACTAAACATTTAAAACATGATTTTAATTCATTTAAAATCATTTTAGTTCAAATTTGAATGCATTAAATTATGTTTATATCTTGACTCACCAATATGTGGGCAAGATGAAGCCACATTTTTGGATGCAGCAAGAGCCTGCTTGTTTTCACTGCTGTCTAATCTACTTGGTGCAAACAATACACACAATGGTAATACCTTCTATGGAGGAAATTCTACTTTTCATTTAACATTGGAACATAAATACTTTCCCAGTCCTTAAAAACTCTTCAAGATTGTCATATTTAGCTGCTACATTACAGTTATGTGTATACTGTAGTTTTATCCTCTGGGGTTTTCCTTTCGCCTTTAACCAATTATTTGCTACTATACAGAAAGTGCAGGTGAACGGTTTTAAATGTAAATCTATAGAAGAGTTGAGATGGCTTTGACCAAACTTCCCGGCTCCAGCCCCCCACAGCATCACTATCACAGTCCTCTCTGCCTGGCCCCGCCTCCTCCCCCTTTGACACTGCCTTTATTCGCAGCTTTTGTCTCTTGGCTCCTCTGGGTCCCCACCCTTCCCTGTCTTCAATGGGCTTCAGCCAACCTGTGCCTCTCCCACACACACTTTTTCATTTCTCAGAGCTTTTGCTGCATCGTGCTTATTTGTCACTAGGCAGCATCCCCTTAGGTTTCCTGCAGTGTTTCGCAAGGTCCCTTCAGTTCCCCTTCCACTCACCAGCGGCCCTTTCCCTCCTTCCCGGTCCCTTTTTTAACCTCAGGGGTTTGTGCACCTGGCCTTGCCACGCCAATTATCCTCGTTGTGCTCCTGCAGATCGTCCCTTCTAAAAGGAAAAAGGATGGACACCATGAGTTTGTTCACCAGGAAAAGTCCCTGCCTTTATTTTCAGCATCAAGCTTATATACATGAAAAGGAGATTACTGTAACAAAGGGGCTACCGTGGCCTCCGCCCATTGGCCAGGCCCCGGCTAGGCGGGTGGGAAGTATCAAAATCATTTACAAAAGAACCTATAAGCTGGGGTTCTTGGGTCTGTGCCCATGTACAGGGATGGAGACAGACAGAACCTAGTCAAGGTCTCCGGCGCTTCCTTATCAGCCTGAGGCCCAGGATTGCTAACTAAGCTAAACTGCTAAGCCAGACTGCTTTCCTTCACTTTCCCCTCCACCCAGAGCAGCTTCTTAATGCTGTGCTTCTGTGGCATTTGTTCCTCTGTTCCATTTCTCCCGGTTCTCCTTTGACCTCGGAACCCTGTTTCCTCCCTCACCTCCCTGTCCACTGGTTCCTAGACCCAATTTCTCCCACCACCCTGGTCTAAGGCAGCAATCACCAGGCTCTTGTTTTGGACCACAAGTCCCTCCTTCGCGCCTATCGCCCCACCCTCCTATCCAGTAACATGTTCCGCCCCTTAACATTTTGAAAGACTTTTTACCCAGAATACCACCCCGAGCCACAAGGCGGCAACTGCGTTTTATGGAACCCAGTCTTGCCCCAGAGTAGTCCTCGGCCACAGCCCGCCTAACTCCGCCATTAAAAAGACAAACCAGGGCTCTCCCTGGTGGCGCAACAGGTTAAAGCACAGCTCTAAGAAGCTTAAGCCAATTTCGCATGAGTTCGATCCCGCCTGCCCCTGAGGAGATCCACATGGAGAGGCAGGCCTCTCCTGACCCGCCCGCTGCTCCCCTCAGCAGTGTACTTCATCGATCTGCCTGTTCTGCGCCCCCACTCTGTCCCTGGTGAATCCTCTCACCCTCCGCATCTCTGGCCTGTACCCCAGTTCTGTATGAATAAATAAATAAATCTTAAAAAAAGAAAAAAAAAAGACAAACCGGAAGTGGGTGGGCAGGGCCTACCGGTCAGCTAGTCCCGCCCACCGTCCACTCACTTCCGGCTTGCCTGGTTTTCCAGAACGCTATTTTCCCACAATACCACCCCAGTCCACCAGGCGGCGCTCTCTCTTTCTCGGGTTCTGGTTTTGGCCCTGTAGCCGCTCCTTCCTCTCAGCCCCTAGCCCCGCCTACCGCCACCATTTAAATCATAATCGGAAGTAAGCGGAATCTTTTCTGGTTAATCCCGCCCACCATTCACTCACTTCCGGTTTTCCTGGTTTTTCCAGCACGCTATTTTCCCACAATACCACCCCAGTCCACAAGGCGGCGCTCTCTCTTTCTCGGGTTCTAGTTTTGGCCCTGGAGCCGCTCCTTCCGCTCAGCCCCTAGCCCCGCCTACCGCTTCCATTTAAATCACAATCGGAAGTGGGTGGAACCTTTTCCAATTAGTCCCGCCCATCGTCCACTCACTTCCGGTTTGCCGGGTTTTTCAGAACGCTATTTTCCCACAATACCACCCCAGTCCACAAGGCGGCGCTCTCTCTTTCTGGGGGTTCTAGTTTTGGCCCTGGAACCGCTCCTTCCTCTCAGCTCCTAGCCCCGCCTACCGCCGCCATTTAAAATGTAATCGGAAGTGGGCGGAATCTTTCCCAGTTAGTCCCGCCCACCGTCCAGCCCCTCCCACTTCCGCATTTTTTAATGGCGGACGTGGGCGGGGCTACAAGCAGAGAGGAAGGAGCGGTTACGGGGACAAAAACAATAGGCCAGAAAACTCAGAGCGCCGCCCTGTGGACTGGGGTGGTATTGTGGGAAAACAGTGGTCTGGAAAACCAGGTAAACCGGAAGTGTGTGGCGGATGGGCGTCGGGACTAGTGGGTGACAGACACGCCCACATCCTGTTTATGTAAATTTTTAATGCCGCTAGTGGGCGGGGTTACAAACGGAGAGGAAGGAGGGGCTCCAGGGCCAAAACAGGGTTCAAGAAAACGAAGAACGCCGCCTTGTGGACTGGGGTGGTATTATGGGAAAATAGCAGCCTGGAAAAAACGGGCAAACCGGAAATGTGCTGCAGGTAGGCGGGACTAGCTGGGGTGCAGGTTCTGCCCACTTCCCGTTTATATATTTTTATATACTTTTTTTTCTTTTTTAAAGATTTATTTGTGCATAAAGAACTGGGATACAGGCCAGAGGCTCAGGGGCGGCGAGAGGCTTCACCAGAGACAGAGCGGGGAACAGAACAGGCAGATCGAGGAAGTACACTGCTGAGGGGAGCAGCGGGAGGGTCAGGAGAGGTCTGCCACGCCACGTGGTCATCTCTGGGGCAGGCGGGAATCGAACTCACGCAGAAGTGGCTTTAGCTTCTCAGTGCTGTGCTTTAACCCGCTGCGCCACCAGGGAGGGCCCTACTTTTTTTTTTTTTTTTTTTTCTTTTAATGGCGGCAGTGGCAGTAAGCGTCGGTAGGGTCGGAGGAGAAGGAACGGCTTCAGGGGCAAAACAGGGGGACGGAGAACGGTGCCTTGTCGACTGTAGCATCCTGGGCATTCCAAAATGTGTGGTGGCAGAGAAATGGGTCGGACAAAGTTCGGGCGATGGGCGGGGAGGTAGGAGGGGCTCCTGGTTAAAAAAAACAAGGACTGGGAAATCGGTGCCTTATGGCTCCAGGTGGTAAGTTCGTTAATTTGAAGCCCAGGAGTGAGGGGATAGGAAAGTGATGGGAGGAAGCAGGGCTCCTGGGGCAAAGGAGAAGCGGGTGGAGCGCAGCACGTTGCTTGGTGGCTCGGTGAACTAAGACTGCAAAAGCACAAAATGAAGGTGTGCAGGGGTGAGGGAATGTGAGAGGCTGAACTAGGCTGCCAGCGCCAAAGGGTGCTTGGCTTGGCGCCTGAGCCTCAGAGAAAGGGAAAAAAAAAAAAACCGGGAGCGCGCCAAACTGACGCTGGTGACTGAAATGTGAAGACGTGATGAGAAATGACTGAGAGTGGAAGGGAAACTGAAGGGACCTTGATCAACACAGTGCAGAAAACCGGAGGGGACGCCGCCCAGTGGCGAGTAGGAGCAATGCAGCTAAAGCTCCCAGAAGTGAAATTGGAAGGGAAGGGCCCTTGGCTCAGTCCAGTGGAGACAGGGCAGGGCAGGAGCCAGAGAGGAGTCAAGTGACAAAAGCTGTGAATAAGGGCAGTGCTGAAGGGGAATGGGAGGAGACAGGGCCAAGCACAGACAGAGCCAAAGGGATGTGGGGGAGGTTGAGGGAGAAGTTTTGTATCAAAGGCGTCCGAGGACAGCTACATAGAATATTGGCGAGGACGAGATGAAATATGTGCTCAGTCTTCTTCACTCCTGGCAAATAAATTCAGACCACCCTTCTATAGAGAACTTTACAGTTTAAATACTTAGTTCATTTTAAACAGAAACTAATTCTCTTTTTCGGAAGTGACATGTACAAATACTTTCCAATGTAGATTTACATATAAAACTTCCCCTGCACTTTTTGTAGAGTAACAAATAACTGAGAAAAAGCAAAAGGAAAACCCAGAGGATGATAAACTACAGCATATATAGAAATGAAATACAGCAATTAGGTACAATAATCCTGAAGTTTAGAAAGTACTTACGTAGTACTTACGTTACAGTGTTCCTCCACAGAAGGTAAATATTAATGAAATGTTCTCTAACCATTATGTGCATGTAGACTAGAATGGGAAAACTATAACTTTGCATTAAGTGGAATATTTTATAGCAGTGAAACCATGCAGGCTCTAGCTGCATCCAAAAATGTGCCTTAACCTTGCCTACATATTGTTGTCAACATATAAAATAAAAATGATTTAATACATTAAATTTGAACTACCACGCAGAATTAAAATATTTTAATTAAACATTTGGTGGCACTTAGGTGATAAATTATGAAGAGCAAGGAAAAGATTCAAAGAAATTCATGTTGGTGCTTACTTGTGGAAAAGACTATGATGAGGTGTGATTTCTATTTCTTGACCCCATTACTGGGATTTGATTTTTCAGTTCTCAAATTCTACATGTACACTGCTTAACCCTATACACAAGTGTAATATTTCACCATAAAAAATATGGAAAAAAGTTAACTCATAAAACTACTTACTTTTTGATGAAAGATAGTTGAATACTGTTCTTACACTTTATTCTACTATTAAAATTTTCCCTAATGTACAAGTCCTTTTCATTATCAGAACCGGTCAAGAAAAGGTGACAAAATAAATGTCACTGCCAAAAATTCCCTCCTGTTCCTCACAAGTGAAAAGTAACTAGTATAAATTTTTTAAAATCTTAAGAATTCCACGGTGATTATAGAAAAACATCTAAGGACAAAAAATAAATAAATATGGTTTGGGTGCTCCCTGGTGGTGCAAGGGTCTCAGCACCATGAAGCTGGCTGCAGCCACTGCAGACTGAGTTCAATCCCTGCCCAGGGAGCTGATCCACATGGCACAGCAGACCTCTCCTCTCCTGTCTTAACTCAGTTTGCCCCTCAGCAGTGTATGTCAGTCATTCTGCCTGTTCTGCTCCCCATTCTGTCTCTGGTGAATCCTCCCACTCCGACCCCTGCATCTCTGACCTATACCCAGCTCTTGTATGCATAATCAAATAAATCTTTAATAAAAGAGGGCCCTCCCTGGTGGCACAGCCAGTTAAAGCACAGCACTAGCAAGGTAAAGCCACTGCAGCACAAATTAGACTCCTGGCCCCAGAGGTGACCCACATGGCACGGCAGACCTCTCCTGACCAGCTCACTGCTCCCCTCAGCAGTGTACTTTGTCTATCTGCCTGTTCTGCTCCCCACTCTGTCTCTGTTGAATACTCTTACACCCCTGTATACCTATGGCCTCTACCCCAGTTCTGTATGCATAAATAAATAAATCTTTAAAAAAAAGATGCTAGCCAAGCAGGTGTGGCCAGAGCAGCATCAGTTGCAAAGTTAAAGTCAAGGTCACCTCATTTTTATTTTTTTTAAGTGAGGAGTTTTGGGTTTCTGACCAGAACTTGTGCTCCTACTAGATTTTAAACCCAAATATATGTATTTTGCCTTTTCTAAAATTTAGATATTTATTCTGTCCAATCTATAATTTTATATAGCTTCAACCAGAAAGTGGGGGGCGGGGGACCCAGACAGTAAAAAGAAGACACTTCTTCAGAGTCTGGGCCCCTTTCAGCTTCCACACACCCGAGTTCTTTAAGTTGGACATACCTATGGGGAGAACAAGACAAAATTATGAATGGAGCCATATTTGCTAAAGTAAGATTTTATACAACATAAACACATTCCTGTGACTACTTAACTGTCCTTATAAAAAGAAGGAAAAAAGAGTAGAACAGGATAGAACAAAGAAACTGCTGTGTTCCAAGGCAACTTGTCACACATCAGCACACAGCGACAGTGCCCTGTCCTGGCAAACAACATGCTTCGTTTTCCTCTCATCCTGGAGCTCAAACCCTGGTTCATCTCAGCAGACTCCACAGGCAACAGCCACGACTGTGGCATTCAAACACTCATTTACACTTTTGTGGACTCCCTCAGTGGTCTTACTCCTGGGCAAGCTCGCCAACCGCCGGAGTCAGAAGCATAAATTAAGATAGGTGCCAAGACTCAAGGAAGAAAAAAAGACAGCAGAAAACACTTTGAGGAGTGAATAGACAGAGACACTTGACGGAATCAGAAGAATGCCAGGAACACTGAATCCCCATTTTTAAAGAGGTCTCCCATGGGAGTGAGGGACGCCCAGTACCCACCTTGCAGGGGGGTTAGGTGGTCTGGCAGAGCTCCTTAGAAAGGTGTTGGTCTGCGGACTGGCCCTCGGGAAAGAACCAGCCCGGTGACCAGGGGGAGAGAAAAGAGCCTGTCAGAGAGAGGCTGGAGGCCTAAGAAAGCAAAGGGCAGGCAGTGAGTCTCAGGAACAACATCCAGAGGCTGGATTTTATCCTGCGGGCGGTGGGGACCAGTGCAGGGCTTGAGGCCTTAAATAATGGCGAGGCCCCGCAGGTCTGCCCTAGCCAGGCACAGTGAGGCAGGAGTGAGCCTGCAGACAGCCCTGAGCAAACGGTGGGTCTCTTTTTGTTCCTCTCCCACAGGCGGAGCTGGGAAGATGAAGTCAACCACCCAGAATGGTGCTAAGATGCCCTGCGATTTTGGCAGTGGGCGACCAACAGCCAGGGCTTGGGATTTTACTAACACGTGTGACCACAAAGACACGGCCATGATCTGTGACGCTGCCTTTGTTACCACTGCCACATCCCCCAGCTTCAGGCTTCAAGTTTTCTGACTTAATTCTTGCATTTAATTACTTTATAAACCATACAGATACTACATTGGAATTCAGAAGCCCCCAAAGTGCAACACTTTATCTGGGTGTCACGATGAAGCAGGTGACAAAAGAACAATCCTACTGACTGTTCCATCGAAGGTGGAAAAACTTCCCAATATATTAACTTGTCATCTATTGTATGATTAAACATCTTTTATCACCCCAATATGCTTTCTCCATCTGTGGCAATCACGCCTCATTGTGTCTTTTTAGAAACATAATACTAATGTTTTAAAATTGTTTTACAAATGGGCCCTCCCTGGTGGCGCAGCGGGTTAAAGCACAGCACAGAGAGGCTTAAACCACCTCCGCATAAGTTCGATTCCCGCCTGCCCCGGAGGTGACCACATGGTGTGGCAGACCTCCCCTGGCCCGCCCGCTGCTCCCTTCAGCAGTGCACCTCGTCTATCTGCCTGTTCTGTACCCCACTCTGTCTCTGGTGAATCCTCTCGCCCTCCGCATCTCTGGCCTGTACCCCAGTTCTGTACGAATAAATAAATAAACCTTTAAAAAAAAAAATATTGTTTTACAAATGTTCCACAATTGAAAAAAAGTAACATATCCAGATGGGACTCACTGTTTATTTGCAATTTATGTTATTTCATTTCAATTTGGGAATAAAATATTTTGTTGGCAGATCAAAATGAGAAAACTATATGTGCATGGGTCTTATGGTTTGGTAATGACACACATGTAAAGAGATTATTTGTAGATGCTATTACACCAAATATCGTCTTTTATTACATGGAATCTTCTCTCACATAGATGTCATACTAAATGTAATCACATATTAAGCCTCATTTACCTGAGCATCTTTTTCAATCTGAGCTCCATCAACACCAGCATCAGGGTCTCCAGCTGACCTAAAATAGAAAATATGTCACAGTATTGACTTACGTGAGCATTTTCACACAAATGGAGAAATGGCTCCATCTGGAGATACGTGAAGCTTTTCATTCTAGGAGGGCTGTGTTTCTACAGGGCATAACAATTCTATGAGATTTCATTGCATCACGCAGCACTCTGCAAAACCAAACT